GGATAAAGAAACTACTGCATACATCAAAAGAATGTAAGGATTTCTGCTACCCAACTGTCTATAAGATTTTACCTAAAGATTTCCATTTTAAAAAGGCTATTAAATAGAGCTACTAAAATAAGTAATTAAAAGATAATGTAAATTTCAAAGTAGACTAATGTAGTAAGTTGATAAATGGGACTTTTCCTCTTCCCTCTGATTTTGGGCTGAGGTCTCAGAGCTGAGAACAGAGCACATCAGTGCCTGGAGATTCTCAAGGAGAATACTATCCGATCTGTGTAGAACTTGTTATGGCCACAGTCCCTGCTAGGAAAGCAGTTCTAGGCAGTTCCTTGCAAATGGTGGCTCTTTGCAGTGCCACGTGACTCTGCCAGTTCATCTACAGCTGATTGGTGATTGTTGGACTCAGTAGTCTATCCCTCTGTCTGTAGCCAGCCAGGGCCTACAAGATGCTGCCATGAATGCACTGCCTGCGTAATGGAAATGGTCATTTGCTGGTCAATGAGATTCTTTCTTTCTTTGATTTTTTTTAAACAGAAGTTACAGTGATATAGGCAGTTGGTTATAGGAGCAAGAATCAGAAAACACAAGTAAATAACTGAGTCATGTCAGTGTTGAAACAATAAAATAGAGATCCACCAACTCCTGCTAGAGCTGCCTGAATCTAAATATTAAAAAAAATTTTTTTTTATCTGATCAGGCTCTATTTAAGTTTCATGTAAGCTTGTTTTCAAGCATAAGTGACATTTAGGCTACAGGGAATTGTGCTCATGGTTTGTCAGTTTACAAGAGGCATTTTTTTCTACTTCCATTCTTCATACATATCTACTTATCTGAGTGGCTACAGTTGTTGCACTAGTGATTCTCTTTGAAATTTCCACTATAATTCCTGTCCACTTGAGCTATAAGAACTGACAGTGTCTTCAGTTGTCGTCATGACTCCTTAGGCACCGGGAGTGCAGTTAGGCTGTCAGGAAAGGAAGGCTTGGTAAGATAGTGTTTATTTTACAGAGTAATAATCTTTTCTCTGAATGTTGTTCTCAATTCTATTCCAGAAAGTGTCACTGCTAAATAAAACTTCATTTCAAGGAGAAAACATGTAATACACAGTCAGGATTCCATAGAGAGTTCATCCTGTTGGCTTCTAGTGGGCTTGAAATAAGAGATTAATGTGTAGTTATATAGAAATCTAGTAGGTTAAACTGGAGAGCGGGGCAGAGAGAGAGAGAGAGAGAGAGAGAGAGAGAATATGACTGTGAGAGAATACAGATCTCTTTTCCAGGTTTATACTTTCTCCGCCATGAACCTGAGAAAATAGTCTGGCCTGTGTAAATAACAGCAGGCCTCACTGAGTTTCTGGTTTCTGTAGATGTTCTGGAGATAAATTGTATTGAAATTCTCATGATCATTACCATCTCTGCCTGTTAAGTAGATACTGGGGAAAACCTCTCTCTCCAAGGTAAAGGTAAATTAGAAATACAGAATGTGCAGGGAACCCCAGCCTGACCTACTGGCTGCTCCCTTTGAGGGCTTTTCTTGCTTTTCTTTCTGGTAGCTTTTCTCTCAGGTACCACTGAAGTGGCACCTTCCGACAACCTCTCTCTGTGACAGCACCTCTTGGTCTCGCTTCTTCTGATTGACTCTTATCGTAGGGGCCTCTCTTCAGCGGCTGTAGTTCTTCACGGTCCCTAGCAGTTCTCAGCTGCAGCCATTCCCCGTAGCAGCGTTAAGCAGATTTGACCCCAGGCCCCCTGCTTTCTCCTGTAGCAACATCATCTGATCTCAGCCTTGCTTTTCACCTCAGCTGTCACCAGTCACTTCCTGCCTGCTTTCCCACCTCAGTGGACTTATTCATACCAATATAGTTGTGGTTTTCCAAATACAACCCACTGTTCGATACCTGCTCCTTTTCATGTCAGCCCCCAACTTCGGTTCAGAGGTTACTTTTTCTGATTTCCCAGGTGGAATTAACCACTGTCTCCTTTTTGCCCCTCATCTGTACTCTAAACATCTATCATAATATCTATAATTCTTTGTTGCTTATGTCTCCCTTGAATGGAGCAGAAATGAGTTATCCCCACCAAGGCCTGCCCAAATTGCAAATTCTTGAGCAAAATAAATATTGTTGATCTTTTAAGCCACTAAATTTTGGAGTAGTGTGTTATGCAGTCATAGAAACTGAGTTAGATTTTGGTGTTTGGAGGTGGGGTGCCATGTAACAGAAACCTCAAAATGCAGCAGTGACTGAAGCTAAACTAGACAGGACTAGACAGTGGGCAGACGGTGGAGGACCTTGAAGAGATTGTTAGTGGAAACCTAATGGCTCTCAAGGAGGATGTGAATGTTTAAAGGAAAGTGAAAAAGTATCATTGGGAGCTGGAGAAAAGATCCTTGTTATGTAATAGCAGAAAGTTTAGCAACATTGTACTTATGGTAACGTGGAAAGTAGAAAACGGTTATAATGAATTGCATGAATTTGAAGGTGTTTTCTGGCTATTACTTGCTGCCTATAGTAAAATTGATAGGACACAGTGCTGTGGTATGAAGGCTTGTATCCCCCAAGATTCAAGTGTTAATGCCGAATGTGATGGTACTAGGAGATGGGGTCTTTGGGAGGCGCTTAGGTCATAATGGTGGAGCCCTCATGAATGGGATTACTGCTTTTATAAAAGAGACCCCGCAGAGCTCCCTAACCCTTTCCACCATGAGAGAACACAGTGAGAAGTTGGCAGTCTGTAACCTGGAAGAGGGCTTTCACCAGAACCTAACCATGCTGGCACACTGATCTTGGACTTCCAGCCTTCAGAACTGTGAGAAATACATTTTTGTGGTTTATAAGCCACCAACTTTGGCATTTCGTTAATAGCAGTCCAACTGGACTAAGAAAGAGAAGCTAAGGAAAGAATTGTTAAATATAGAGGAAGCAGAACTTACTGAGTTTGAAAATAAAACTCATTTTTCCAGTTTCTCCAGATGGCAGACAATTTTCAAGTTAAGAAAAGTCTTATGGAAAGAGATCAAATCTAGAGTATTGTGAGAAAACATGGTTTAACTACAAAGCCAAGGGAGTGATTATAAAACTCCTAGTTAAGGCTGCAGGAGATTTAATGTCGTGCCTCACAAAGGCAAATAGTCCCTCTACGGATCTTGAGAACATGCCATGCCTGTTCTCACAGATGACTCACAGATCTTCTCTATTAAACGAAAAGGTCCTCTAAGAATTTTAAGAGAATTGTCCCTCAGGACCCTTATAGGAGCTCAAGGACCTATACCGAAATTTATGGGTGTGATTTTTGTCTAATGGAGTGGATTATAAATTGATTCACAAGAAATCTACACAGTTAAAAAAAAGACTTTATTTTTTAGAGCAGTTTTGGGTTCACAACAAAATGCAACAGAAAGCACAGAGAGTTCCCACATAGCCCCTTGTCCCTCTCGGATACCAGAGTAGTACCTTTGGTAAAATTGATGAACCTACATTGACGCATCATTATCATGCCTGGTTCATAGTTTACATTAGGGTTCACTTTTGGTATATATTCTATAGGTTTGGACAAATGTATAATGACATATATCCACTATTATAGGCCTTAAAAATCCTTTGTGCTCTGCCTATTCCTCCATCCCTCCCCCAACTCCTAACAACCATTCATCTTTTTACTGCCTCCATAATTTTGCCTTTTCCAGAAGGTCATATAGTTGGAGTCATACAATGTGTAACCTTTTCAGATTGGCTTCTTTCACTTATGCATTTAAGTTTCCTCCATGTCTTTTTATGGCTTGATAGCTCATTTCTTTTTAGCGCCGAATAATATTCCATTGTGTGAATGGTTTATCCATTCACCTACTGAAGGATATCTTGGTTATTTCCAAAGTTTGGCAGTTATGAATAAAGCTGCTATAAACATCTGTATGCAGGTTTTTGTGAGGACATAAGTCTTCAGCTTCTTTGGGTTAATACTAGGGAGGGTGATGGCTGGATCATATTGTAAGAATATGTATAATTTTGTGAGAAACTGCCAATTGTCTTCCAAAGTGGCTACATTGTTTTGCATTCCCACCATCTATGAATGAGAGCTTGTGTTACTCCATAGCCTCACCAGTATTTGGTGGTGTCAGTTTTCTAGATTTTGGCCATTCTCGTAGGTGTGTAGTGGTGTCTCGTTGTTTTAATTTGCATTTCCCTAATAAAGTATGCTGTTGAGCATCTTTTCATATGCTTATTTGCTGTCTGTATATCTACTTTGGTAGGTGTCTGTTCAGATCTTCTGCCCATTTTTAAATTGGGTTGTTCATTTTCTTACTGTTAAGTTTTCAGAATTTTTTGTATATTTTGATTGAACCCCTCCCAACATGATGGGCAGCCCACCTGTTGCTCTCTTCTCAAAGGCTCTGCTCTGTGGTTTCTTTCCAAAGGTGAGGAAAAGGAAGAGGAAATAACTTAGTTACAATACCATTGAGAAGAAAAATAATAGTTATTTTCAAGAAGTCTTTTTCAGAAGGATAGCTTTTCCAATAACATTTTAAAAAGAAAAAAAGAATTCTTTGTATATTTTAGGTAACAATCTTTTATCAGATATGTTTTTTACAAATATTTTCCCTGGTCTGTGGCTTGTCTTCTCAGTCTCTTGATCCACATAGTTTTTAAAATGATTATATCAGCTTGGATTGAAAGGCACAGAGACAGTACAAAATGAAAAGAGGGCTTTGGATCCCAACCTTCTATAGACAGGAAGCATGCTAAGAACATGGCTACTTAACATGAACCAACAACCCAGAGCTGGGAAGCCATGAGCCACAGTGAATCATTCCTGAGCAGTACAACTAAGCTGTAATAGAGGAGCTAGCAGCATGTGCCCAGCTGGGTTTAATTGACCAGTGACTGCTGTCTCCTTTCCCCCTTTTTGAATGGGAGTGTCTGTAGGTGTTATCCTATGACTGCTCTACCTTTGTGTATTCGTGTTTGTGGAGGCAGATAACTTATCTTTTTTTGTTTACAGCTCTTCAGATCAAGAGGAACTCTTCTCAAGGGGCTATATTTAAGGCACTATACTCAAGAAGTTCATCAATACCTGGACCTCAAACCTCAGCCTGATGTTATGGGTATCGGTGGGAGGGAATGAGTATATTTTGCATGTAGGAGGGATGTGAACTGCTGTGGCCAGAAGGTGGACTGTGGTATGTTATATTTTTGATGACTGGTCTCAGCAATATTTTTGGTCCCACATGCTGTTTTAGAAACTTGCCACTTCCCGTCAAGAGACTGAGTTTACTTCCCCTGTCCTTGAACTTGGGCTGGACTTTGCACGGATTAGTAGAATTGGGGGAAGTGATACTGTATGACTTCCAAGGCTAGGTTCTAAAAGATGGTACTGCTTCTGCCTGCCTCTCTCAGGATGCTTACCTTTAGAATCTAGCCACCCACTGTGGCGTGAGGAAGCCTAGGCCACATATTGAAGCCATGTGTAGGTTTTCTGGCACCAGATTCTCATCTGACAGCATCAACCACCAGACTAGTGAATGAGGCTTTATATAATTGCAGTCCCCAGCCTTTGAGCCCTTCCAGCTGTTGCTGAGTGGAGCAGAGATGAGCAGTCCTGTCCAAGCCCTGTCCAAATTGCAGGTTCATGAACAAAAAAATATTGTTGCTTTAGGTCAATAAGATTTAGGGTAATTTTTAAATATAGTCTTAGTAACTGAAGTAATTAGAATGGTTTATAGTTTGGGGTTTATTTATTTTTTTATTTTGTATTTTTTGTGTGTGTGTGTGGTACGCGGGCCTCTCACTGTTGTGGCCTCTCCCGTTGCAGAGCACAGGCTCCGGACGTGCAGGCTCAGCGGCCATGGCTCACGGGCCCAGCCGCTCTGTGGCATGTGGGATCTTCCCGGACTGGGGCATGAACCCGTGTCCCCTGCATCGGTAGGCAGACTCTCAACCGCTGCGCCACCAGGGAAGCCCGGGTTTATTTTTTAATTAAGTTTTGGTAATAAAGTTATGCTGCCTTCATGAAATGAGACACATTTTATCTTTTTGTTTTGTATGGAATAGTTTAAATAATAGTGTAATTATTTGTTCCTTAACAGTTAGGTGGACTCAAATTGAAAGGTTTTTTGTTTGTCTTATTATCTAAAGTAATAGTCAACTTTCCAATCCCTTCTTTGGTAAGTAGTCAGTTTGGGTTTTTTACTTGGTTTACTTTGGTTTATTTGTATTTTCTAGGAAATCATACATTTCTTCTATTCCTAGTCTTGCTAATATTTGTTTTGTCTTACATTTTTAAGCAGGATCGTAAAGCGTTGTGTGTGTGTGTGTGTGTGTGTGTGTCTGTTTGTATCTTGTTAGTCTTTAAAACAACAGCTTTTGGAATTATTTATCAATTCTTCTACTATTTTCCTGTATCTGGTATAGATTATAGGTAGATTATATCTGTTATTTTTATCCATTCACTCCTCAAATTTTCTTTCAGTTAATTTTGTGCTTTTTTTAAAAAAAAACAACCCAAAACTTAGGATAAACATAATGTTTCTTGACTTTTATTCATTTGTCTTCATAATGAAAGGATTTAGGGACATAAATTTTTATCTAATTATGGCTTTTTCTGTGTTCCATAAATTTTTATGTATTTACCTTTTCATTAATTTCTAGAGTATGATTTTTCTCATTGATCAGGAGTTAATTTTCAAATCATTAAGATATTTCAAACCATTTAAAAATTACTTCTTATATTATTGAATTATCAGTGACTGTGAGTTATAATATATTTACTTTTAAATATTTCTTATGGTTTGCTTTGTGGAAATTTTTATAAATCTGTGAGCAAATTAAAGTGTAAATTGTCTCACTGAGTGAAGTAAGATTCCATACTGTCTTAGTTCAGGCTGCTTTAATAAAAATATCATAGGCTGGGTGGGTAGCTTAAACAACAAAAACTTATTTCTTGTAGTTTGGAGGCTGGAAAGTCCAAGAGCAAGGCACCTGTCTGATGAGAACTTGCTTCCCGGTTCACAGAAGGCTGTCTTCTTGCTGTGTCCTCACATGGCAGAAGGGGCAAGAGAGCTCTCTGGGATATCTTTTATAAGGGCACTAATCCCATTCATTAGGGCTCCATCCTCACTCTCAAAGGCCTCACCTCCCAATACCATCACATTGGGATTTAGGATTTCAACATATGAATTTTGGAGGAGCACAAACATACAGTCTATAACATCCTGCCCCTGACCTTCCAAAACTCATATTCTTCTCACATGCAAAATACATCCATCCATTCCAACAGCTCCAAAAGTTTTAACTCATTTTCATCATCATCTCTAAAGTTTGAAGTTCGAAGTCTCTGTAAATATCATCTAAACCAGATTATGAGTGAGACTGAGGTATGATTTATTCAGGGGCAGAATTCTTCTCCAGCTATGAACCTGTGAAAGCAAACAAGTTATGTGCTTCCAAAATACAGTGGTGGGACAGGTAAAGGATAGACATTCCCATTCCAAAAGGGGGAAGTCGAAAAAAAGAAAGGAGTGACAGTTTCCAAGTAAGTACAAAACCTAATGCAGCAAATTCTGTTAAACCTTAAGGCTTGAGAATAATTTTCTTTGGCCTGATGCTTTGCCTTCCAGACTCACTGGGGTGGCGATGTCACCATCATGGCTTGGTGGTATGCTGCCCACACCATGGCTCTGTGTAGTGGCCCTGCCCATGCTGCAGCTCTCTGTCAGGGTCCTGCTACTAATGCACTGGGCAGGGGCATGCTGGCCTATCTGAACCAGAGAGGGGGCCTCACCCTTTGAAACCATTCTGCTTACCCCTACCCTGGACCTGTGATGGCAGTGGCAGCCCTGATAATATCTGAAGTGCCTTGGAAGTAGGGGGAGAAGGGGAGTGGTGTTATTCTTTTCTTGTCTTGAAGAATAACATCTGGCTTCTGTTGAGATGGTTATTGAGGGCTGTGGTTTATACCCATATTAATCTTCTTATCAAACAGTCACTTTACTGTACCTTTAGTATTCTTTTCCAGGAATGCTTTCTTATTTTGCAATATAGATAGGCTGAGAATTTTCCAAATCTTTAAGTTCTAGTTCTTTTTTGCTTAACAGTTCCATCTTCAAATCATTTCTCTCTTCTCACATTTTACCATAAGCAGTCCAGAGGAACCAGGCCACTCCTTCAATACTTTGCATAGGGGTCTCCTCAGCTAAATATCCAATTTTGTTGCTTGCAAGTTCTACATTCCACAGAACACCAGAACATGAACTCAATTCAGTCAAGTTCTTTGCCACTTTATAATAAGGATCACCTTTTCTCCAGTTTCCAATAACATGTTCCTCATTTCCACCTGAGACCTCATCATAACGGCCTTTATGGTCCATATTTCTACCAACATTCTGCTCAGGATTACTTAAATATTCTAAGAAGATTGAGGTTTTCTCTCCAGTTCTCCTCTTTTCTTTCTGAACTCTCACCATAATTACCATTAATGCTCATATTTCTATCATGTACCTCTAAACCCTTCCAGCTGCTATCAATAACCAGTTGCAAAGTCACTTCAACTTTTTAAGTTATTTGTTATGGCAGCATCCCACTCTCAGTACCCAAATCTGTAGCAGTCAAGGTTCTTCAGAGAAACATAACATCTGGAGGCTGAGAATCCCACAATCTGCCATCTGCAAGCTGGAGACCTAAGAAGGCCAGTGGTGTAATCCAGTCAGAGTTTGAATGCCTGAGAACCAGAGGAGCCAGTGATGTAAATTCCACTTCAAGGGCAGAAGATGAGATGAGATGTCTCAGCTCAAACAGTGAAGCTAGAAAAAACGAGCAAATTCCTCCTTCCTCCACCTTTTGTTCTGTTTAGGCCCTCAACAGATTGGATGATGCCCTTCCACACTGGGGAAGGCAATCCAGTGAGTCCACCAATTCAAATGCTAATCTCATCCAGAAATACCGTCATAGACATCCCAGAAATAATGTTTAATGTGAGTACCCCATGGCCAATCAAGTTTACACATAAAATTAACCATCATACGTATAAACAGAAAAAAATCACTGAAATAAAACTTCAGAAGATGAATTTAAGGAGAGTCACTCTGGAGATCTGCCTGAATTAGTGCATTGGAAAACTCAAGAGGAAGAAATATCTGAAAACTAAGAACAAATACATACAGAGAGATAAATTATAACAAAGACATTTGGTTAAAGATTCATTTTCCACACACCATTTCTACCGACATTATTGGAGCCTGTTCATCATCAAAATAATGGTGTATAAATCAAGGAAGGTGTAAACAAAATTGAGGGAACAGGATCCAACACAAAAGAGAGGCAAAGGAATTTACTGAGTGTTGGTGAAGAGACACACCAAATGACAGCTGTACAGCAGGCCTAAAATGAATCAATCTAGCTTCGAACAGGTCAGAAGGCTCAAGGAGAGACTTCTTCAAGAAGATGAAATTCAAAGCGAGAGAGAGGCATGGACATATATACACTACCAAACGAAAGGTAGATAGCTAGTGGGAAGCAGCCGCATAGCACAGGGAGATCAGCTCTGTGACCGCCTGGAAGGGTGGGATAGGGAGGGTGGGAGGGAGGGAGACGCAAGAGGGAAGAGATATGGGAACATATGTATATGTATAACTGATTCACTTTGTTATAAAGCAGAAACTAACACACCATTGTAAAGCAATTATACTCCAATAAAGATGTAAAAAAAAAAAAGATGAAATTAATAAAATACCTAATGGGTCTGAGTCTATTGAGAAGAGATTTATACAAGCTCTGGGGAATATGGGGGGAAAAATTAATGTTAAAAGCATAGAAAAGTAAAAAATGGAAAAAATAATTCTTAATTAGGGAAAATAATCATAGAAAACATGATTCAGCTATCATAGTATTTACATGGTCAACATAAACATTGGATATTAATCTAAGCAATAGATATGGATCCTGTAGTATGATCCTGTGGTATTGATACCAGAGGCTTTTAAAAGGGCTGGCTAGCGGGGTAGTATGGAGGAGAGAGACTAGGAAAAAAATGGATATTGATCTATCATAACTTTATAAGATTTTGGAAGAACAAGGGAACCCAAGTGTTTGTGTGTGTGTGTGTGCATGCATGTGTGTGTGTTTGTGTGTGGTGAGAATGGTGGTTATATGTGAAAGAGAGCTAAATTCTCATCTTTTGTAATAGATATTATCAGTAGATAGTAATGCCTATAACTGAAAGGAAGAACGTAAGACTGTAAGAATGTTATTTAGAGATTGGGAGTAAATATCAAAAACCAACAGGAAGAGTTGAAGCAGTTGCCTCCCAGGGTGAGAAATTTGAAATATGTGGGGCCTGATGTTTTTCATAACAAGTCTTATAAAGTTTTAAATGATGTACATGTGAGATTTTGCCAAAAATAACCCCCCCAAACCTAAATTAAAAATAAAGTGGAATAACGAAAGACAACAGAGACTTAATAGATCCAGGAGATGTATAAGGAGGAGTTCTACAAGGTTAAAAAAAAACGGAGAGAGAAAATAACAAGAACTCATATTAGAAGAAAGACCTAAGCCTGCATCTTGAAGGATACCCCATTCCCTCACCCTGACCCAAGTTTCAGTTAGCATTGATGAGAACAACTGATAATAGGCATATCCCTATAAAATTTTCAAAATCCAGGGAAAACAATAAAATCTTTCTGGGTTCCAGATAGAAAAAACAAGTTATTTGTGAAGGAAAAAAAATCAGACTGAGATTGAATTTCCTGCATCCAAGTTTGGAGACTAGAAGATGGTAGGATAATGTCAATGGACTAGTGAGAGAACTACACCCCATGAATCCT